TACATCAAAAACGATGCACTTCAACTAATTGCATTCGCTATTGATGCTAACTTTTACGCGGGCAATGAATACTCCGACCTCTCTACATTAGTAAATTATTATTTAGGAGCCCTAATGGTGATTGATTAGAGGCATTGGCTGTACGACCTAAAGCTATTCGCATACGTACTTTCTATAGTAATCCCGGAGTTTTGCGTAATTAATTAATAAAGACATCAAGCATAGTGAAATAAGCGTAAGGTATGAAATGATAAACCTGCTACGGTTTTTCACCTTAGACAGTTATGTATTTCCGAAAATTAAATCAGCTAATATATTTCTAAAAGTATATTAGCTGATGCTTAATATAATACATTATAATATTTATTCCGACTATTCCTGCCCTTTATTTCTGTATTAAGTAATCTTTCTCAAGAATGTATAATATGATAAGGTACAAAAGCATCCTATTGATGTAGTCTTTTGCCGTGCTCTTACAATGAAATGCCTTTAGTTCAGTTAATTTTCGTAGTAAATAGTATAATCAACGTTTCATTCGGGTTGTTCAAAGGGTAAAATATTTTACAGTTCGTGGAAAATGCATGAATCTGTCGATATATGCTCAGCACTGTTGATTTACGATTTCATTAGTTCCAGCTTGACGAGGCGCAGTTATAGTTAGGGGTGCTGGGCATTAGTGCATAGGATTTCCATACAAGGTTTTTATAATTTTTGGGTGTTTAACGTGTATGTAGCAAGAATTGTTGAACGGTGCCTACAATCCTATAGGTGTTGCCCTCACATTCTAGATCTGATTCATAGTTAATACTTTATAAACCGTTTGTACTTGACACAGTTTCTGTCTTTATATGTCTTTATTTGATTTTCAGATTTATAAAAATGACTGTAAAATTGTATTTTTTGAATTATACTTCTTTAGGCGCGTTATGAAAAATTTATGAGAGTGAATTTTTTACGATGCCGCGCACCTGTGACACAAAATTGGGGGTGTGATTATAGCGTGCGCGAGCGAAAATAGGAATAAAAATCTACAAGTAAAAAGCAATAGAATATGCGTGAAGTTCGTATGCCAAGAATTTTGAATGACCATAATGACATTTGTATTTACCTTTTAAACAAAGGAAATAAAGGAGTTTTGATTAATTTTTCAAAAAAATTTATTAATTTTATATTGTGCAATACTGTCAAAGCTACAACATACTTCTTAGTGTTTGGTAGAGATGTTCTGAATATATAATTATATATACTTTTAATTAAAAAGAATTTATGTTACACTTAATGTAAGAGAATAATAATAAATAATTATTTATTTATTTTTCAAATGTAAACTGAACTTAATTGACTATAATGACTCCTTTTCCAGTCTTTGATTATTTAATTGTAATTAATTATTTGCATGCAATCAAAAATATTTTTTAATGCCAAAGAAGTATTACTTCTTACGCGCGTACATAAGTACACGCCCCTTTTTTTGGATTAAGGTTCTATATTTTTTTTTATATAACATTTGGTTCTGCACTTCACGCACTCATTATGTTTATTTTTTTAGTTTTTCTCTTTAACTAGGGTTGCCTGGAAGAGATCGCTTATTAGCGATAAGGCCGCCCGTGGCATCCCTTATAATTTTTATGTATTGTGTTATTTGTGTTTCTTTTATTTTTATTGCAACGAAGTGTAAATAAATTAAATTGCTAAGTACTCAACTTTAAATTTAACCAAATGAGAATAAAATTTAATAGGTATTCGTCATCCGTCATATTATTTGTCAACGAGCCGTCATCGGCAGTCGGCGGCGCGGGTGCGAGCGACGCATGCCGTATCCAATTACACATTCGCAATATTTTCTATGCTATGACACGCCTGTGAAAAATGCAATCAATCTATTGAATGCCTAAAAATATATGGATTTGTTAACCGATAAATTTATTTTTATGTGTAAGAAAATATGTGTAGCGAAACACCAGATGTGATTCGTGCAAATAGATAAATTTATCGTATATATTCAAACAGCATTATTTGCAATTACGTTTATCTTATTGTGCACCACATATAACGAATGCCGAGAATAACAAAAGTGCATCACGCTCATCGAAAACGTGTCTTAAGTTCCAACTCAGTTTATTAATTACTATATAATATAATTATAATAATAATTAAATTAATAAACAGATATTACTTGTCGTGGTTGATAAACATTATAATCTATATAACAATATATCGTATTTCGCATTAAAATCACTAATGATATATCAACAAAAGTGTAAAGTACCCTAAGTTTGGACGCAGTAAAAAAAATTCAAACATGAAAGTTTCAAACTTAGAAAATACCGAAGCATATTTACATAATTTCCTAACAGTCAACACTTTCTTAGTTTCAAGGGTTGTTTTCTATTCCGGGTATATCTGGCCATTCAGCGTCCCGAATGTGCTATAGCGAAAATAGTTCTCAAACACTTAAGCTGGGGTAGATTGAATTGAATATTGCTTGTTGGCTAGACTTCGGTTACTTGACTTAGCATTCGATAACTAGCTTAGTTTAAGTACTTAAGCTAATTCAATATAATTTGTTATAGAAAATAAATACGTTATTTTTAATATATTTTACATGGTTCATATATTTGAAATATGACTAACCCGAAAATTTGTCGTAGACGTAATAAGATTCTTATATAGATAGATTAAATCCAAAAAGCGCTAAAACAATTAATATATTGTCTGCAAAAATATATGTTAAACAAATGGTGCTACCATTATTATCTCCGTTTAAACTAACAATAATTTATTATAGTAAATAATCACACGTTGGCTGAAAAGTTCGTAGGCTAATAGAAAAAAATCTTTTTTTTATTTTTCGCGCACGTCGATTATTTGATAAAGTTCCTTCGAGAGCGAAACAACTATTATAACGATCATACAATTTTTCAATTCAATATAATCATTTTTATAGTACGATTTGTATTAAGCCTCAAAATAGGCTTCTAGTCGGTTAAAATTTAAAATATTTTAAAGGATAAAGTAACTTGAGCTCTAGGAAATGTCTATGGTTTAAAAATAACATTGTATGTTGAATTGAACACCTCCACAATGTTAGTGGTTAAGAATAAACGATAAAGAGCACAAAGGTTATCCAACAGTTATTTAAAGCAACAGACGCCTCACCCATGACCTGGGGACGGTCGTGTGAATAGTGCCTGTATATATCAAGCTCTCGGTGAAATGTTTTGAAAGGAACGATTTTACTTTGCGTCTCGCTCCCCGGCACCCACGCGTCTCGCCGACTCCAATTCTAAAGGCAACTACAATCGCACAATATTGTTTTCACCATATACGTATCCCGATTTCCATGCAAACCTTTACACATTCCCGTAATGGAAATGAAATTAAAACGAACTTTTACTAACGTATTGTTTCTTCTGTCACACTCGGCTCCAACTTTGTAATACTTTCAATAGATTGGAATTGAAAGCTATATTAGACACTACTTTTACAGCGCTGCTTCGATTTCTATGCCTTTCAGTTTGAGTAGTTTTGAGAGGCAGTTTAAACTTCCATGCAGATTGATTGAAGGTTAAAGTTTATGACTACTGTTCTAAAAATCGGTATTATTTTTTATTGTAATGCAGAATTCTCTAATAATTTGCATTTTTGTGAATGCAATGTTGACGATTTAGATGAAGGGTAATTTGATGAATAGTTTTCAGGATAAAAAGTATAAAGTAGATGTTTTTATTAAATTGAAAACCGCTTAAAATTAATTAGATTATAACTAACATTAGTTAACTTTATAACTAAACCATATTGTATTCGTAATAGTCATTCCTTATTTTCCAACAAAATTTTTAATCACACCACATATACGTCAGTATAAAAAAAGCTATCAAGTTTGTTTTGATACTATTCAATAAGTATCTCTCACAAATTTGGTTGTTAACTGTGTAAGTGTATTTTTTTTATACAAATCTAATGCTCTCACTCATGAGAGTCAGTCATTAGACACAAGACTAAGCTTTTTGTTGAAAAAAATTTTGAGAGTAGATGTTATACACAGATAAAAAAAAACAAAATTGTAATTAAAAAAACATTTTTTTTATTAACTTTTAAGTTTGTTAGAGAAGAGCTGGGAACGCCGACAAAGGTATATTTTACTTAAAAGGGTTCCCAAATCCTTACACATTATAATGCATTGTTTATAAATAATAAACACTTATTTTTTAATATTTATTTAATAAATTATAAATGTTCGTCCAATAGTTAATTCCATAAAAGTCTTTTGTTTTTTTATTAATTAAATCAGAATTCATTTATAATTAATTCATTTAGTTATATAGCGTATAACATAGAGCTTTACTGCAAATCATTAGCTGAATAGAGACGGCTGTGGTCCGCCACATTCTGTTTGAATTTGTAATTAATACACTGTTTGTACTTCTGATTTACGATAGAGCGTCTAATGTGTTAATGGTCTGGAATAAACACCAATTTTCTTTTCAAGTCAACGCTTCGGTACATTAGAGAATAAACTACTCAAAAACACCGAGTTTAATTACATAATTTATTTACATAACGTTGAGTCTCCTAGTGTGTATTATATTTTAAAAGCATTGTAGATAGTAGATGTAACTTAGAAAACGCATTAAATAATATGCCACTTTGTTTCTCAGAGTTAGCGTTTCGATAACGACCAGTAGGTAAACGCCGTGGTAAAGAAAATTGGAAATCTGAGAAATCGTTTTAACTAAAGAAAAACGAGATCTGTATCATTTTTACATTTAAGATGGCAGTATCATCATGGAAAAGGCTACACAGCTACTAAACCTTTAATGAGTCAATTCCTTAGTGAATAATTGCGACATAAAACGCATCAACTATCTAAACCAATGGTATTGCTCTGTGAAATACTTATGTAGTAAATATTAATAAATTAAATTAGGGACAAATTACTTTGCGAAAAAAACTGAAAATTTATTCTTTTAAGTTAACTTATTTTGGTAAATTGAAAAATGATTTTCCGCCCCTCACTTTGTCAACTCGACGCGACTCAGTATAAGACTGGGGCGTGGTGTCAAATCGACAGAATTTGCATTTTTAGCGAAAGTACAAAGACGCACGTCTCGGGCAGACAGATTGTGCAAGAGACGAATGATCCCGCGAACGATGAACAACTATTCTCTTTGAAAATTCTTATAAGATTTTCAAATTATGTGGATAAGTTGCGAGTAGCAATACAGCGGCTGGCTTACTGGGCTAAATCACATTTGGACAAAAGGGGCGACAAGAATTAGTTTTACTTACACATAGATAGGAGAGGTGTTGGCCTAGTGGCTTCAGCGAGCGATTCTAATCCTTGAGGTCGTAGCTTTAAACCCCAGCTGTGCAACAATGCACTTTCTGCCTATGTGTACATTTGACACTCATATGGTGAACATTGTGAGGAATTTGGCATGTCTTATACTTATTGTCTATTAAATTAAATCAGGAAATCACGAAACATATATAGAATTATCTGCCTCAAAGGTTGCAGCTGCACTGGTTATTTTTAATGTGTCAATGTACTAACACAGAGGCTATAAGAAGCCGCCTGTAAGAATAACTCGCACACGATAAAAATTTTAATTATTTCTAGAATAGCATAGCATCTTTTTTAAATATGGGAATGTATAAAGAGTGCAATCGAAGCACTACAGAGAACCACCGGTCGATTTATTTCTAGTAAAATTATAACTGTCAGTGATAGCACATCAACAGAATTTTATCATTAGCAAAGGTAAAAAATTGGACATAGCGTCCGATATCCAGGTACATCAAATCCTATTTTCATGGTGCATGTTATTCTGAAATTAGTCCCTTCAAAGAAACATTAAAAATAATTTATCGCGCCAAGTACCGTGAACTTTTAAGTTTGAGTATGTAATCACAAACTCATACACGTAGTGAAATTTTAATATTATTGCGTCTCACGTCCTCTGGAAGCAATAAAAATCCAGAAGTAAGTTTTGCGTGGAAAGTTTAGCTTTGCTTTAGCGAGCCGAGTCGAGTGGAATACGCGGGGCCCTACAAGGAATAGGCGTGTGCGGAATGTATAATAAACAAGGAGATTAAAAACTACGAAACCTTGTCAAATACAGCCACTGGCAAGATTGATAAACACAGTTTTACTTAATATCGTAGTTTTTTTGGGTAGTGTCTTTAAACTGTATTTAGGTATTTAAATTTTAGGCTTGGTCATTATATTCAACCTAGACAGGCCCACCAATCCACCTGTTGTTATGCTGAGATGCTGAGTAATGATACAAATGCCTGTCTGAAGGAAGTTTATTGAATATTACTTTAATTTAAACACTCTTGAATGAAGCGACTCCAATATTTTTACGCTAAAGAAAAAAAAAAACAAATAATGTGTGTGAAGTCATGTATCTCCCAATAAGATTGATCGTTTTCTATATAGGCAAGTAGGTGATCCACCTTATTGTTTCTCACTCGAATCATTTGTATCCCTAAATCCAGTTATATGCACGTTACGAACGAAGGCTTAGATAGCGGCAGAATGCACAATACTTAAAATGGGAGTAAAAAATTAGAATATACCTCTAAATTATTTATCGATAATCTGAGGGAAGAACTTTATACTTCAAACAACCCGTAAAGTTCTTACGCGAAAAAAGTTAGGCAAACTTATACTAAAAGTTTTATTGTACCGCACTTTGTGTACACAAATTGAAATTGACTGCGTCTTGGTATAAAAATATCGTACGTCATAGTAGTCGTCCGAGCATTTGATCACATGAATTTTTAATCTCTTTTCACCAAAAAATATAGCGAAGAACCGTTGGTTTCAGTTTAGAAACCATTACAGTAAGTGCATGTTTCTATATTGAGCTATTCCACGTTTGGCGTCGTTTTTCGAAGACTTGTTTACTTTTAGATAGCTCGCCTTTTGTACATTCTTGTTATACCTTTATTCTTCTTTCCCTTTTTACAAAATTTGTTCTGAATTCAATTTATTAATAAGTGATCTAGTTATAAGTTATAAAACTCCTAAATAGCGATTGCAAAGTCTTTTCTTTACACGAGTAGGTATCACACATTTATAATTTATTAAATATATATATATAAATGAAAAGCTAAGCAAAAGCTACAGCTACCTCGGACAAAGAATTAGTCTAGCAATTCAAAGGGGGAACGCTGCCAGTATCTTCGGAACCTTGCCTAAAGGGACTCCTTTTAATGATATATTTTAGTTTATGTTAAGTTTAGTTATTTATTTCAATGTATATTATTTTATTATTATATAAGTGATATTTTAATGTTAATATCATGTGTCGTATATGTTTGTATTTTTATGAATTAAATAAATATATATTCAAACTGTATATAAATGCATACTAATGAAGTAATTTTTTTTGTACCACTAGAAAGTTATGTTACATATTTGATTATGAGAAGTTTTTACATCATTTAAAAGAAATGATACTAATGTCTTTTAATGCTGCATAAATCAGGCACTTTTCATTGGTTTAAAAATATAGAAAAAAACATTGACAAAACACAAAAATAAATAACATGGATATTATAATAAATTTACTTATTTATTAAGATAGCTTTAAAAAGCGAATGTAAAATGATATGTGGTTGATACATGCAGGAACACTTTAATTGGATCGTTACGAATATGCTCACGAAATAAATTGTGTTTTCATTTAGAGGAAAGCAATATAATAAGCATTTTTCAGAGGCGAAGTCTCAGGTGCTGGCCCGTATTTGAATATCGAGTGTGATCAGAATCGAGATGCATTTTTATTGTCACCAGTACCAATGAAGCTATGAAATTTTATTGATTCCTTTTACATTTTCTGTCTGTAGTTGCAGGCTGTTACGATATGTAAGCACTCTTTTGTTTAAAATGAAATTGGTAATTTAAAATTGGAATTCAGTCGAAATTTATTACATCATTTTAGATATTTTCTATGTGACCTTCGAAGTAAAAACAAAGTAACTCAGAAAGAATTACAAGCTACTTTTGTACACGAATGCTCTTTCTACTTCTTGAAAAATGGTTTCTATTTAATATCGAAGATAGTATTGATTTTTTTTTATTTAATATTGCTAGTATAGTTTTCACTATAAGATATATAATTTTTATTACATTTTAGAATTATTAAGTAAATATCAGCTGTTAAGTCTCTCTAATGGGCATTCACAAGTTGGTTATGTAAACAATTTTATGTCACATATTGAAAATCCTTATTAAATTATACTTGATAATAAGTTCCAAATAAGCTAAGTTTAATACCAATCCGTATTTGTGTTCAATAACGTCACGGGAAATGAGAGCTTGTATCTTAGGATTCACACACGACTGAGCGGTGCAGATTGTCACGAAATGTGGCGTCACTAACGTAGCTAATGTTGTATGAAAGTTATTGCTTTATCGGTTATCTGTGTCGACTTATTTCATGTCACACGTTAATAGATCAAATAGTATAAGATCCCGATATACAACGACCTTCACCGAGATGCTTATTTAATGAAACGTATTTTATATTTAATTTAATATGTCAATAAATATAATCCATATGGGTTGCCTAGCAAATTTCAGTCCAGAGTATTTTAATTAATATTTAAAAAAATAAAACATCACTGTCAAATAACCGGTTTTAGAATACAAACCGTAAATAAAAACCATAGAGATACAAAAAATAAAAAAGTCCGTGCTTACAAAGTACACATGTAAGAAGTGAAACTTCTTCGGCAAACTAATTTTTAAGTCTTTCATATTTTATAGTTCATATTTATACAAATCTAAAACTTTAGATTTCCGAGAAAAAGGAAGATATTATAGGAATTTAAAGAATTTAATTGTCATTAAAATATTTAAAATGTCGAAAATTAATACAAATTATAAATGTATTTCTTCGATAGTTAAAACTCGTGGTATTTACCAAGTGATTCATCTCTTTTGTAATTAAAACGCCATCTATTTTTAAAAGGGCTGTATCATTTTGAAATGAATATAATTTAATTACGCTTTTCATAGTTGTATAATCTTTGACGGCGGGCCGCGTATGGCAATACATCAATCAGCCTGTTGTCAGCGTGACGGGAGGTTCGCAATCAAATAAAATTTAACTCGAAACCGTTAAGCCCTACCATAAGCTGTTTATTGCAGTTCCATCGAACACTACTGTACGGAATACTAATTGCATTATTATCCGTGAATGCATTTGCAAATTGTACTTGATTGCTAATTGGCCGCTGAAGAACCGTAACCTTTTGTATGTTATTTCTGAAAGTTGGTCTTATTAAAGTATCTCAAAGTACTTAAACATGTAACACGTAACCTATACATTATCAAACAAATAATGTTCGTAATCGAACCTGATGGGCCACGTGCGTTAATCACTATTCGCACGATGTTGGTGCGGTTATATGATACTATTTAATATGTATGAAATTTTTTATGCATATTCAGTAAGTCTGAGAATCGGACAACATCTATTTTTCATCCCCCTAAATGTTAAGGGTGGTCCCACCCCTAAATTTATTTTTTAGACAAAACTTTGTTTTTTTTATGATACAGCATAAAAAATACATACAACCCTTAATTGTCACCCCTCTACGATCAACCCCTATTTTTTATTATAGTAGATAGTAATTTTTATTGAACAAAAAAAATACTACCAGTCAGGGAAGTTCATTGCCCCATAGTACATTAAATCATTAACTAATCGGGCCTTAATTAGGTAGCTGACATACATCATTAGTAATGTTAGTGTTAATCATAAATTTGTAGTAAAATGAGTACTGTGGATGTAGCTATTCTATACTGTGCATATTATCACATATCTTTCTAACAGAGAGCTATTGGTCTATATTTAGTTACATTTTGGAAAATCGCCGCAAGCGAGGACGGCGGACGTCCTACCAATCATAGGCAGGGTACCAAACTAATCTGCCTAAATTGTTCTTAACTCCTTGTGTTTGTATTTTGACTGTGTCGTTACTTTTAAAACAAATGTGGCAAATTATGAACCCTTTCGGTACCAACTAAAAACTGAGTGTATTGTCTAGCTTTCATAACTAATCAAGGATTTTAATTTAAAACTGTAATGTTATAAATATGATTTATTGTAAATACTATTCCTGTGATGCTAACAGCTAAATCGGTCTCGGCTTCAGATCTGTTTCGCGATCAGCACATTCTGTGCCTGACGTTTTAGGTATAAGAAATGCCAGTTTTCTCGCCATTACCTTAGTATTGTCAATTGTCCATTGGTGGAAAGCC